GACACTATGTTTTTTTTTGTTCAATGTACTTCTGATATTTTTTGCCATTACTCATTCGAGATGTTTTCAACAAGTTTTTTTTTTTACTTTTTCCAAACACAGGCGAAACAGTGTCACATTCAAACCATGCATGGATAAAGAGTAGTCAAGCCATTTACAAGATCGGTTCAGATGCCATTTTTGCTTCGACCCAATTTTACTTTGTTCGTTGCACAGTATGGTTACCACTTGTAAATTCTCTATACAATAAAGGATGCGTTTCTGGAAGCTTTTTTATTTCTTCCAAATAATAATGTGTGCCCTTGTTGCTATTGCAATGGTTTTTCCTGAAATAATTTTAGTGACATAATTCTCAGCATATTCTCAGAGAAATCCTTAAGACCTGTTCCTTTAGCAAAATATGTTTCTATAATCAACTAATATATTTGAATGAAAAATAATTCTTATAAATTAAACAAATATATATTTGTATATCTGCCTTTTCTTGATGCAAACACAATGTTGATCTACTGTATAAAATCTAACGTTGTTCCAATGTATATGAATCAACATCAACTCAATGTATATAATCCAACGTTAATTCATACACATTGGGTTAACGTTACGTTATAAACATTGAATCAACATTAATCCATATACATTGGATCAATTTGGATATAGATTGGGAAAACATCCAACTTTGCGATGTTTTTACATACGTTGGACCAATGTAATTTTGCTAACTATTTTTAATCACGTTGTCATTAAGGTTTTAATTAATATAAATACGATAAAACTAACATTGGATCAACGTTGTATTTGCATCGAAGATAATAGCCAACGTTCGCGATGTATTTATATAAGTTGACTTAACTTAAGTGTGCTAGCTGAGTAATTATATTAGAAATGAGCAGTCTTGCTGTAATCTTAAAGATTGTTTTAAATTGAAACTTTTTTAGATGCGAAGATTTATGATACTGCACAATCTCTATACCACGGCTGATACCACAATGATACACAAAATTCTATACCACGTGATACAGCACAATCTCTATACCACGGCTGTTTGCAAATAGTGTTAGTAGAAGTTGTCTCAATCTTGGAACTTTATCAAACGATCAAGTCTGCTTTTTTTTATAGTGATTATTTCCATCCCATGAAATGTAACTTTTTCTGCTAATTTTGCAGTATTGTGGTCAACATTATCAGCTAATAATGCTTAAATCCATTACTTAATTTTTTGTTATTGATTTCGTTCCTACTCATCTCTCCAATTGCTGATTGTTTAAACAGATATAATTCATCTGGAATGATTGAAAACAGAAATTGCAAGAAATGATGAATAAGCTATTTATATCAATTAGATTTATCAATATTGAGAGCCACTCCAAATGGAATTGGTGCAATTATACTTTTTGGTCGTGAAGCTTGTACAATACATTGACTCAGACTTAGCCGCTTCTGACTGGAAGGAATCAGTAACATCATAGAAGTTTCCAATGATTCAGGAACCCACATCTCTCCGTTCGCGATATCATCTATAGTGGGGTAAAAATCTTTATTTTATTCCATTGACCTTATCTCTTCCTTTACTCTTTCGGCTGCTGCTTATAGATTATCTCTTGTTGCTGGGCCTTTTTCTTTAAATTTCTTTAGGATAAATTCCGCGATATTTTTAAATAAAATCATCTTTACAGCCGCCACTTTGAATAAAAGGACGTGATCTTCATACCTTACCTTCAGTTTTGGTCAAAACTTTTTAAGACAATATCCAACACCATTATTATCTTCAATTACTTTATCATATAAATCTCTAATAGAATACATTTCACTTGCGGCAGCGTTTTTGAACCAACCGCAAATGTTTTCAAATGCATCTGTCATGATAAGTTCTTTTGATCTTCCCCTACCGCTTTTTCCTCCTTTGTTCCCGAAAAAAGGGGCTTTCCTGTTGAGAATTATTGGACATTTTTACACGTGATCCATATAACTTAAGGAATCACTAGGCAAAGTTTCAGCTTTATGAAAAAAAAATTTCTACAAATAGTTTTTGGAGTTTTTGGAGTTTTTGGACTAAATCCAGTTGTGCCAAATAAAAATGATTTTCTGAAAATTGTTTACAGTAATGTTAGTCAATAAAATTCTAAGCCATGTTTACTTATATTATATATTAAAATTATTATTGCAGGCATGTTATTTTTTATGTTATCACTATTTTATCAATTTTTGGGTTATCAAATACATTTGTTAGCAGATTTGTAGTATAAATGAGACAGTCCAAAGAAATTTTCATTATTTTAATAGTTGGCTCACTCGTCCAAATAGGATTGTCGCTCAATGGTGGTCTTCCACTGCTTTTTTTCTTCCGACCAGATTTTTTCAAAAAAAATATGCATTTTTTTGAGGGAACATGCTTGTGGACAATAACTTAAAATAAAAGTTGTTCCTTGCTGTTCGATGTTTTGCATATTTGTATAGCATTTCAATCAAATTTTGGGTGGGGTATTCTTATCTTTGTGTCCTATCGTCTTAGCTCTGTGAAAATGTCTGATCAATTCTAATCTTTAAAGTTGTCGTGTTAAATGATACATTGCCGATATATTGTCCACATAGTCTGAACAGTTTAATAAGTTATTACATGTGCTTAGTAGCAATAACAGCCGGGAGGAGGGGTTAAAAGGGCATAGATGCCGTGGACTCCAAGATAATAGGGGTGCCAGAAAATGGAAGACAAAAAAAAATCATAATAAAGTTTTAATTACAAAAGAGTAAAAAAATTGTTTCTATTAATGAGGTAAAAAGTAGATTTACTCGGTGATGTGCATAGCAATTAACTTTGTTTTATTTATATTACCAAAGAATTATAGTTTTAAATATTTTTTTTTTTTGGGTTGGTGGGGACTAAATAAAAAAAAATGTTTTTATATCAAAGACATCTAAGTAGACACTAGGTCTTTTCCAAGCAAAACATTTTGTTTTTAATTATAAACTTTGTCAGGTTATTTCAGAAAAAAATGAATATATCTCATAAATAACTTTATGATTATTCTAAAAGTAAATTTAATCACAACTTTAAATAGCAAAATAAAAAAAATAACTTTATTTGCTAAGGTTAACAATTCCCTTAGGAATAATGTCTCAACGCAAAGTAAATGTTACCTACCCTCAAAAAAGGAATGTCAAATCATTCAACACATTTTCACACAACAACTTCTTCATTAGATTTATACCTATAGAATTTAAGGCCAGCTAGTTAACTGGGTCACAGGTTGGCTAGCAAATAGGCATCTGAGTGGAATAGGGTGACAAAAGGCGTTCCTCAAGGATCAGCTTATGTATCACTGCTATTTGTGTTCTTCATCAATGAATTGTCAGACTGCGTTTATACCAAATTAAACGCCGATGATGACAAAATTATATAAGTCTTTGATGTCAATCAATTTTCCATTTTCCTCTGCTTACGAAAAACTGCACGCGGACAACGAGAACGTACTAAATTGGTCGCACAACTGTTTTGTGAATTTAAACTTTGGGAATTGTAAAGTAATACAAGTTGGTTGTCGCAAATACTAATCATTAATAACATGGCTGACATTGATGTTCGGGTTGGCAATTAAATGCTTGGTTGTCTTAAGATGACATTTTAATGCCGGAGCTTTTCAGCTACGAAAAAACTCTACCAGCTATACATTTAACCACGTTTTTTGTGCGCAAGCCTGGTCATTTCTTTTTAAACCACATCTAGATTTTTGTGCGCAAGCCAGATCATCCCTTCTTAAACTAGAAATTGCTTTTGTTCAACAACGCGCAATATTGCTCGATATTGTTCAATTTTTTCTAGAACTACATCCTTTTTAGTTTTACGCTTTTTCAACAAACGCAGGATATAGTTGATGTACCTATATTAAACGCTTTTAAAAATATTTTGATAATACTAATTCGTTAGCACATGAAAGTCTGGTGTGGCTTTCCTTTATCAATATAAAAATTTTTATTTATAAGTTTGATTATTGTAATAAATAAATAAAAATCTAAGAATTTTTTATTTTCAGCTGCAGTTGCGCTAGATGGAAGATTTACTTTACATGCTTTTCAGACGTTTGCTGTTCCAGCTCAGATTGTCGCTATAAAATTTGTAGATTGACCAAAAAAAAAAAATACTGCTGTTTTAAAACCGTAGTTTTTGCTTCAACAAAAATTTTGACATAAATTAAACAGATGACTTGTTTTGGCGATGAAACAGAACCTTTTGCAAAGCAACTGATGATAGCGAAATTGCAAATAATCTAAATATGTAGTTTTTCTTGAATATATTGATATACAGTAACATTATTAGAAATAAGAACACAGTCATTAACTTGAATAATTGTACATACTTTTAAAAATTATGCATGTTTAAAGGGGCACCTAATGTCTAGTATGCCCTGGGCGTCATAAAAGCTCTCGGCGGCCCTGCAGTAACGATATTACGCAATAAAAACCAATCGCAGCAAACTTTTTTTTATAAAGTAATCTTTAATTTTACAACATAAACAAAACCAACTTAAAATAGTTTAAAAACCAGTGCCTATCTTCGGGGCCTAAAAATGTAAATTAAAATTACAGTTAATATTGAGAGCAAAACAAAAAATCTACATACACACATGCGCAATATAAATGTCTGCAAGGGATTAAGATTAAAGGCTGGGCAATATTGCTTATCAGGCCATAGCTGGTGTCGAACCTCGGATCTTTTGGTTAATTTTTACAATTATTATTTTCTTGTCCTTTATATGATTGCATTGACAAAAATAAATCAGTTTTAGAAGACGAATTAATAAAAATCGTACATACTAATTGAACACAATTTATATTTACTTTATGGATATGCATGTTACGAATATTTCGTTATGATTCTATAAACATAAAATTTCAAAATTAGTATAAAAAAAGTCAAGCGCCTAAAAAATTTTTTTCGTTTTGTTGAATTAGTTTTTTAATTCTGTTTATTGCAAAAGAAAGACAGACTATAACTAGTAAACAAATTGTCATAGCTACTATTCCATAAGTTTGGCGTTTTTCTAGCACAAAGCTCATCGCAATAGGTCCTCCAATCATAGCTATACGTGTTGCTGATGAAAAAAAACCCTGAATTATGCCTTGATTTTCAGCTGGAAACATTTTCATAGTAAGACTTTTTGTTGAAACAAGGTTGAAAGGCAGGGCTATAAACATTAAAGAACACACAACAAAAAAAACGGCAATTCTTAAATTATATTGCAGAGTAACGCTTTCTAATATAACCAATCCTACTGATATAGTAGTTAAAACTAATGCGAACAACATTAGGTAATACTCTTGTATAACTATTTTCTTTGACAGAAAGATAATTATGAGGAAAACTATTAAAATTATACAGCTACCGCCAACGTATACAAAACTTGCTGATGATGGGCTCCATTTATAATTAAACTCGGTAATGTAAGGTAAAAGTAGTTCAAATTGAGTTTGAATCATCCAAAGAACTAAATCAGCAAAAAAAATAATAAAAAACTCAAATGAAAATATAGCTTTAGTAGTTTGAAGCCAATATTTATACAAAAGGTTTGGTCTTTGAAATTCTTTCTCTTTTGTTTTGACATCATTTGGTAGTTTGTCTTGGAAGTTATCTGATAATAGGTGGCTTGATGAAGTTGTTTCACTTTCAATTTCATCAAAGTTATCGTTATAGATGAAACTTTCAAGCTTGACCGACGTTTGGGTCTCAGCATTTAATTTCGGCGTATCAATATTTATAAATTTAGGACTTTCTTCGATTTCTTTTCTAATATTATAAACGCAGCAAAAAGTCATAAGCTCATTTATAAACCAGATACAAGCCATCGCTACTCCTGGAAGGGTAGTTTTATCCAAAACCCAGCTATTTACTTTAAAGTTTTCTTTTTCAATAACTAAGTTGAGCGAAGGTCCAATCATCAAACCAAAAACACGACCTATTTCAAGAAGAGAAAGAATTGTCAATCTAGTATTTGGTGGATATATTTGAGTCAGTTCTCCAGAAACGCATGAAATGAAACCGTCACCCATTCCACTTATAAACCTGCCAACTAGCGGAAACCACATGGAAAAATGCAAAGCATACAACACATTTCCAATTATCTGAAACAAGTTCAACACAAGAAGAAGTTCTTTAATTCGTTTTGTTTTATCATATAAGTATCCAAACAAAGGTAATGATATAATTGCACCAACTGGGTACAAAGAAACAATCAAACCCATAAAAATATTGTTAACATTGAATCTTTTCATGTAAAGAAGCGCTGTAGGTAAAATAACGGAATATTCCACTCCAGAGATAAACATCCTAAAAAACAGCATCCCAATAAAAAGTTTTTTTTTTATTTTGAAATACTTTTCTAACGCCGATTCCTTTTCATTATAAAATAAGTTATTTGTACTCATTACGAAATGATGTTTTTTAATATTTTTTAATTTGATTTAATTTTTGTTTTTTGTCGTGTTTCAAGGTAATATCATTTTAAATTGTAAATCAATCGTAAATTTTTTTCAATTGTAATGATTTTTATTAAGGGTTTTAAAACTATTGTTTGCAAACAATTAATTTGCTTATTTTTGATTTACAAAGTTTAAAGAGATTTTTTGTAGGCTTTGTTCAAACAAACAAACTATAATGCTAACCCTTAACTACCAAATTTCAATACTTTGTTTTTTTATCTGTTTTCTAGGCTAATCCATTAAATATACTTTTTTTTTAAATAACAACTAATTGGTGTTTAATTGTATCCAAGCAACAATGTTGTGTAATTTATTCACTATTTAATAAAATATTATTGAGCAGTTTAAATTATCAGGTACCTATTAAGAATTCAAGTTAGAAGAGGACTTCACAAATTATATTAAAAAAAAACATCGTTGCGACAAATTATGAGTTCTTGAAAAAAATTTTCTTTGAGCTTCTTTTCTTGTTTTTGTCAAAAAATTTATTTGAGCTTCTTTTCTTGTTTTTGTCAAAAATATTCTTTGAGCTTCTTTTCTTTTTTTTTCAAAAATATTCTTTGAGCTTCTTTTTTTTTTTTTTTTCAAAAATATTCTTTGAGCTTCTTTTCTAATCAAACTATTTTACCTGAACTAAATATAAATCAACTTAAAAACATGTGGTAAAATTTTAATAAACTTTTTTTAACTTTTATAGTTTCTAATTTGTCTGTTAAATTTTTCAAGTTGCTTCTTCAGTTTCAACAGCCAATGAGCCTAGTATATATGCTAAATAGCATAGCAGTAGGTAAATAGCTTAGCATACAAATAGTATTGAGTCATCGTTGTCCTTAAATGCGTTTTAATTCTTTTTAATACATTGAAATATCTTTCCTTAGTTGCCATGCTATTGGGTTGCTATTAGTTGCCAAATTATTAATTTAGTAAATGACTTAAATTAAAGGATGTAAAACAAAAGTTTATATGGTTGTTAACAATACATTTAAGTATATCAACTTTAAATAGCAATTTAGGTGTTTCAAAAGGGCATTAAATATTTTTTTATTATTCTTTTCATTCGTTTCGATTAAACTTTGTTCCATTTTATAGATAATTTGCTTCTTACAAAACGTTATCAAAATTATTACGATATAGGATAAAAACATAAAATCCAAACTATTCATATGAGCTGTTTAAATATACTTTCTAAATAATTCTTTAAAAAAAAAAATCTAAACCATAAAATTTTAAACAACACGAAGGCGTTGTGTTTTTTAAATAGGATTTTACACGTTTAAAACTTTTTGTTTTATAAATTTTAAGACCTTGCAGTTTATGAGCAAAAATGTTATTATTTAAATATTAATTTTTAGTTTGGAAATTTTAGGACATGTTTATAAACAAAAATGGTTTGCATCATTGAAAAAAATCTTTTGTTCTCTCAACATTTTGTTCTTTTGTACTCTCAATAAAAGTAGCCTTTTATATTATTATGGTTTCATTTTGACTCAAATGCAAATTGTCTAGATACAAAGACTTGTTTTTACAAAATTAGGAGTTGAAAGATTAACTATTGAAGGATTAAGAAGTGTTGCAACTGCAAAATGATTTTTGATTTCTCAGCAACAAAACGTGTTTCCATCAGTTTCTTAAGGATTATTCATCTATTCCATGTCTATCATTTTTATGCCTATTATGTTCTCAAATTTCGGAAAAATATTTTTAACTAAATGTCTTTTTCCAACTTAAAACACGGTAAGCAGAATTTATTTTCTTCCAATAGTGTGAAATGAAGTGAATTGTCATGCTCAAGTACCCATAATGAAAGTATAACTTATCTTTACGACAGATAAAATCTGCTTCAATCCTTTTTTTAAATCCTAAATCGTTTACAATTAAATTTGGAACCGCAGGCTGTTACGGTAAAAAGTTTCCAAAATTATTTTACCGTAGCAAGCTTCATTTTGAACTATTTTCCGTTGTAAAGTTTAACGTTTAATGATTTTTGTTGAAATTGTTGATTTTAGTAGTTCACTAAGCATGACTCTATATAAAGAATAAGTTCAGAAAAAAAACTTAATTATGTAATAAGATTTTAAATAAAATTATTTAAATTAAAAACTGGTGGCTCTAAAAAACAAACACTAATTTAAAACAAGATAACTAAACATTTTGGTTCAGCAGAGAAATAGTTTGAACCAAAATTTTGGCCTAACCAAAACGAGTTCAACGTAGTCAAAATTAAATAATTTAGTTTATTCTATCGCAAAAATACTGGGTTAAACTGAAACTAAAACCAAAAGTTTTGTTCGCTAATATTATGATTTCTTCTTGTTTTATCAATAAAAATCAAAAAATAGGTGTTCGAAAGTTTCTAAAAAGTCAAAATTAGGTTGCTAATAAAATCCATATATACGGAGACTATCAAATAACTTCAAAACGCTATTTGGATTTTAATCTTGAATGATCCTTAAGTTTATGACTTTAATTATTGATTATGGTAATACTTAACAATTATAATAAAAAATTGATGGAGACATCAAACTTGAGACATAGGAACTCAAAACACAGCTCGAGACTTAGGAACTCAAAAAATAGGTCGAGACAAAGGAACTCAAAAGACAGCTCAACATAGGAACTCAAAAAACAACTTGAGAAATAGGAACTCAAAAAACACCTCGAGACATAAGAACTCGAAAAACAAACTTTAGATTTATTGGAGACATTGAGCTTTAGATTTTCTCAACATAAAGTTAGTTGAGTATTTTAGGTGGAGTATACTTTTTATTCATGGCTCAAAGAGCAGAAATTCTTAGCATTCACCACGCGGATAATAAATCATTTACTTTTGAATTTAAAAAATCAACAAAAAATGCTGAAATAATTGCTTTAAACAGAACCATCTTTAAATTTTGGTAGGCAGTCTATAAATTTCAGAAATAAAGACTTAAGACAGTTTTTATAAAACTATTTTGTAGAGGGAAATGTATACAAATGATAAAGTAACTATTAAATAAGTACCAACTAACACTTTTAACTTTTAAAAACTTTTTTTTTTTTGTAGAATTATTCTACAATTAAGTTTGATCATAATTATATAAAAATCACACCAATTCTAGTAGATTACATTTATTCACACCAATTCTAGTAGATTACATTTATTCACACCAATTCTAGTAGATTACATTAATTCACACCAATTCTAGTAGATTATATTTATTTACACAAATTCTAGTAGATTACATTTATTCACACCAATTCCAGTAGATTATATTTATTTACACAAATTCTAGTAGATTACATTTATTCACACCAATTCTAGTAGATTACATTAATTCACACCAATTCTAGTAGATTATATTTATTTACACAAATTCTAGTAGATTACATTTATTCACACCAATTCTAGTAGATTACATTTATTCACACCAACTCTAATAGATTACATTTATTCACACCAATTCTAGTAGATTACATTTATTCACACCAATTCTAGTAGATTACATTTATTCACACCAATTCTAGTAGATTACATTTATTCGCACCAATTCTAGTAGATTATATTTATTTACACAAATTCTAGAAGATTACATTTATTCATAATTATATAAAATTCACACCAATTCGATTACATTTATTCATAAATTCCTTTAAGATTACTTTAATTTACTATAAACTTCTATAAAAGTTAAAAAATATAAAGAAGTATAACCCTCCCCTTTTCCTCCTATTTTTTATTTCTTCCTAAATTTAAAGAATCGAATCAAGCAACTTACAATGCTTAGTGCTGACGTCTAACTCGCTAAAGCATAAAGAACAAAAATAAAGTTAATTAAAAAATCAATGTTTTAAATTTATTTCAACGGCTATTTTGTAGATTTTTCCTATATCTGAATTTATTGAATCAAATAAATTAGAATTAGTCGACGTAACTAAAGGGTGTGGTTCTGCAATCACATATCGACACCTTACATTACGTAAATTCATCTTACATTAATCATATAGCTATTTCAAAACATGCATCATTTCTATTATATAAATGCATTGTTATTTCTCCTTTATTTCAAACTTATAGTGATTGCTTGCCACTATCAATTTCAATTGGTCTTATAGGTCAGTTTCATCAAGAAAATATAAATAAAATAACGACTATTTTTCTCCACAACTATTTCCAATAAAAATGGAGAACCTGAACAATACTAGAAAATAGTTGTGTAATTTCACTGAAAATTGAAGTAAATAATGAATCAATTATTTTAAAAGAATATTATGATTTATTGGACAATATATTACAAGAAACATCTAATTTATTGGATTGTGGTAAGTGGCCAATTGTTCGATCTAGCAACTTTGTGGACCATTTAGTTAAACTTGGTCCTTTTTAAATTACGTAAGGAAAAATACCCTGAAAATAGAAATGGTTGACAAATTTCTAGCATTTATTGCTACAGAAAACTTGTAAACAGAGAAACCTTTTGTCGTAGATGGTTGGTTTATTCAGATTCTAAAAACTCCGTATTTTGTTTTTGCTGTCTACTTATTGATAATAATTCAAAGTCAAAATTTTTCTCTGATGGGTTCAATTAATAGAGACATTTAACTGAAACATTGGGAGTTTATGAAAATAGCGTCTCCCATTTGAAATGTAATCAACAGTGGGTGGAAACTGAAATAAGAATAAAAACCGCTACAACTATACGTAATGAAGAACTTAAAATTATAGAAAAAGACAGTTTGCGATGGCAAAATGTTCTTTTTCGGTTGATGAATATCACTCTTTATCTAGCTGAAGACAGTATGAATTTTTGAGGGAGTTCAAATAAGCTGTTTACACCTAAAAACGGTGAATTCTTAGGACTAACACAAATGCTTCCAAACTTTGATCCTGTGATGCAAAATCATTTAGCATTTGCAATGAAAGGTGGCACTTCAGATCGTTACTGTGGAAAAAATATTCAAAATGAGTTAACAGGTTTAATGTCTCAAAAAGTTTATGATAAAATAATAAACCGAGTCTTGAAAGCCGTTTACAAATCAGTTATTGCTGATTGTAATTAATATAAGTTTTAATTATAATTTCATTATAATAATAGTTTTAGTAAAACTAAAACATATTTGTAGAAAGTCCTTGTTTTAGTAGAAAGATTTGTATTAGTGGAAAGGCTTGTTTTAGTAGAAAGTCCATGATTTGTTTTAAATATTTAACAGGTTTTTTTTTTAACATTAAAATAATAGGGGTGTAGGGACTTGTCCTGGGACCTTAAATTGTTTTTAAGCTCCTGGGCAACTCCCCCCATAAAAAAGAAATACTAAAAACATGATAAGAGGTATGATTTAAACTCAAATTTAATAAACTTTATTTACAATGATAAATTTGAATCTGAACTTACAAGTTATGATTAATAAACTAAAAAAGTAAAAAATGCAATATTAATTCACAGACATCTGAGCTGTTCGGCAGATAAGATGCCTGCGAAATTATTATTTTGTATCACATGCATGCATTACACCATGCACCAAATTTTGGGTAAAAGGTCTGATGTATGCTCGAACCATAAATGATACACCAATAAGAAGGTAGCGTTAACATTCTCACTAAACGCTTTACTGCGGTGCTCTATTTTTGGTATTGTGACAGTACTATTTGGTTTGTCAGAGACAAGCAAGTTTAATTTTTTTTTTAGAAAACCATATTAAACAAACCTTTTCACTTAAAATAATTAACAAATTAAACTTTTAAGTTTTTAATTTTTGTTCTTAACATGATTTAAAGGAGAAATTTTAATAAGAGCTATACGTTAAACATAAACAAGTTTTATGTAATATTTTTTAACAAACATCTTCAGTAAAACATGCGTAAAGTGAAACCCAAGACACGATGAAACTAATAGTCATTGTTAGAACTCCAAAAAAAACAATTATGACGTCGATTGCAAATTCAATATGTTTTAATTCTGCACAATAAATTTTCATATGAAAAAGTGCTGGAAATATAAACTCTAAAGAAATCCCTGTAAAACTACCGACAAAAGCAAGTAGATAAATGAACCATGGTATAAATGCTGCCATAATAACTGTCGAAAACAATATGGTTAATCGTGTAACCTGCGTTTGAAAGCTATAAATGCTTGAGCTATCTTTTTTTATAGAAGATAAAGTTAAATGCGATTTCTCAACAACTTCAAAAAGCATAAACATTGGTAAGGTATACGAGGTAAAAGCTAATACAGCAGCTATTGAGTTCAATGTTTGGCGAAATATACCTGAAGGCAAATTGTTTGTTAATAAGTTATCTGAGTTTGGATAGAAAGTAATGTGACTCACAACTCCAATAAAAACAATAACACTTGTCATTACAAAGTAAGACAATTTTACAGCAGATTCAAACCTTTCGGGGCGTTTCATGGTTGATTCTATAAACGGAGCAAAGGGCTGAGAGAAAAAGCATGCAACTAATATTCCGATAGCATTTGGAAAGTCTAATGACTGATAGTTGTGCATTTTATCAATGTCCCATTTGTGGAAATGCATCAAACAATATACAAATAAGCAAATAAATATTATAGACGCACAGCCCATTGCTACAACACCTGTCCATGCAACTTGCGATAAATCTTTTAATAAAGAATTTGGTAAAAAAGCTAGTCCTCCAATCAATGTCCATGCCCAGAGCGGGATATTTGCTTCCGGGAAAGATTTGTTAAACATAGCTCCCACAATGAATGGATACATTGTTGAAACAAAAATAAGCTGTATAACCATAGCAACAAACACAAGCATTCTCCCTCCTCCTTTCCAAAATGCATCACCTATATCAAGATAGTTTTGACGTACTCTTAATTTCACTCCGTTTTTTACTTCGTATAAACTTCTTACTAAAATAATACTTGTATAACTTGAAAATGATGCTATAATGAGCAAAGCTAACAATGCCCACCACCCACCTATTTTAAAAACATAAGGTATGATCAAAATAGGCAGACCCTGAATAGTATTACAGACTGTCAAAACAGCCTCCAGCGTTGTTGTTAAAGTTTCATCAGTTTTCGCATTGTTTTTAACAGTTTTCGGCTGCTTTTCTTCGTTTATCGTTTGCGGCTGCTTTACTTCAGAAATATCTTCGGACATTTTCAAATTTTAATGAGCATCGAGCAGTTTTTAGATGATATTACGTTTTTAAATTCAAAAAATTTTTTTAGAATATAAAGTCTAGTAGTAAAATGCAATAAAACGACTTTCAACAAAGTTTTACATGGTTCAATGAGTTTTATACCCAATAGTTAAATAGTTCCTTACAAAGGATAGTTAAGTATTTTTTAATTGAAGTATTCTGTAACATAATACTTCAGTTTTTATTTTTTTAAATTGAAATTAAAACATTTCATTGATATTATGTTCGATTTTTTTGTTTTTATAACCATATAAAAGATTCACGTAGTCTTAAATAAAAGATAAATATATGTGTTCATCACAAACCAAAATTATTAAAAAATGCCTTATTATGTAAAGGTACAATGCGAAAGGTACATATTTGTCTCATTGGGATTGAAAGTACGTTCGAAATATTTAACAAATCATAATCGTCACATTGAAATGTATCAGTTTTATATTTTCTTTGAGATGGCAGGATCAAAACTTTTGATAATTATGCTAGGAGGCTTTTTATGTGCAAGTTTTATTAGTGCGAACTGGCATAATAGCAGTTTCTTAAGTGCAAAATAGTTGAAAAATTGACATAAGTACGAACTGGGTATATGCAATTTTGCACTTAGGCCAGTATTTTCAAAATCTGCAGACGCACAAATGCCATTATATTTAAGCTTATATGTAATTTAGAATCACTTTTGGTTCAAAATTGATATTAAGTGATATATAGGGGTGCGCGAGATTAATTTGCAATAAATATGCATCTCATTATTTTACATGCTTCTTATTAAATGTATATCATAACACTGTTTCTAATTTTATTAGAACCAGTGATAATGTGATTATTGTTCTAATGTGATTGTTAAACCAGTGATAATGTGATTATTGTTCTAATTACTATAATTCTACTGTTAGTAATTTTTACTTTGATTCGTTGACGCATGCGTATTATGTATGCCGCGGCATAAGTATCGACGTGCCGCATTGCGACGTGCCGCAAACTATATTGTTATTCATTTTTTTGCCTGCTTATTGAAATCAGTGGGTGCTTTTTTATATTTTATTTAAGTTCTATGTTCAATTATTTTTTGCTGTTGTTTTTAATAAAACTTATTTTCACTGTAATTTGTATTTAGTTTTATAGCGCTTGAAACGTACGCTAAAACACTTATTTCTTATCAACACTCAAAAACATGAATAATTAAAGAGTTTATAACTACAGAATCAGATATCCTACAGAAAATCTATGGCAACTTTCTGAAATGCTTGTGTGCATACTGAAGCACTTTGAAATGCTTGTGTGCATACTGAAGCACTTTGGCTAAAACAAATGGGTTTTTAAAGTACATAAAATAAATATAACTTATATATCAATATAAAATAGAGACGAAGAAGAATTAATTCTAAGATTTCAGTGTTGGATGAAACAAAAGCAAAAGGCCTAAGTATACACATAAACAAGAAATAAAGTTATGCATTATATTGAAAAGTTACCATGTGGAGTGCATTTGAAAAGAGCTAATACAAACCCTACTTTTGTAAAGTTTTTAAACAATAAGCTCACTTGAGGTCTAACAAAAAACAGGGTGCTCTTAATATTTTTGGTTTTGAGTGTAAAAAATATACTACTGCTGATAAAGCAGAAAAGACATCAAAGGTAAGGATTGGAATGTCTAAATTAATAAAAATAACAAAGAGTGAAGAGAATTTCTACATCTAAAACCATAAGGTACATCATTTATGGAATGATATACGCCACATGCATCCGAGTGTTGAACGAAGCATAAGAACGAATGTTGATGATGTTCAACGTATGAAAAGAGAAAATTGTGATCAGATGGATGTTAGGTGTGACTCTAAAAGAAAAAAATAATTTTAGAAAGATATTGGGAGTAGTACTTGTATTTGTTTGTCAGAAGGGAAGACTGCAGTAGTTTGGGTTTGCAGATGCAGATGATTGGGTTTGATGCAGGTGAAAAGGTAAACTTAAAGCTCTTTTGTATAATCATATAGATATTAGGTTAGTTCAAAAACAACATTTTTAAAAAAATCTTATGTTGGAATCCCTAAATCTGTTCATATAATAAAAAAATATTTCATATAAAAATATATATATATATATTTAGAGATATCACGAAACTTCAACATCAGACAGGTCCCTAATATTATCAATAAATTTTATTTGAAGAAGTGAGATTATATAAAAGTTTTTTAAATAATAATCACTTAACCAATATTAGATTAATTTTTATCTCTTAAAAACTATTATTTTTTAACAAAATATAAAAAAAAATTTAATCAGAGTCTGAAGCTGTATCATAGTTACAAAAATGTTTTTTATCCGTCGAATTTTTTTTAGTTTGAGTTACAAATGATGCTTTATGAAATAAAGAATATGCTGTTTCTTTACGTGTTTCCATGTTTTTTTGATAATGAATATGTTCATACAAAAACCCATAACGAAAATTGAAACTGTTAATTTTTGTAGATTTCATTTGTGCATAGCAACTCACGCATGGTCGATTTTTTCCAAAAATGCATATATTTAGTTCAGCGTTTGCCTGTAACGCCGTAGCAACGTTACATAATGTATCTTCGGCGTGAAAGTAAATATCTTCAAATTCTTGACCTGGAATAAGTAAAATCAATTCGTTTTCAGACATTCTAAAAAAGGCAAATTTAACTTTTCCGTCTTGATTATTAATATTTATAGTATTTCGATGATCTATTTTAAGCAGCTCCTGTATAAGACGAGAGTCTCGAGTTGATTTTCTTAATTCACTGCCCCATACTCTATCAGAAAGTTTTTTAGCAAATCTATGAGAACGCTTTACTGATTCACTTATACTTCCTTGATATGAAACAGTCAACATTTCTTTTAGCGGCATCTTTTTTTTAAAATCATCTCGAACAGAATGCGCTGCAGTAGTTGGACTTAAGGCAATAAATAACGTAGGTTTAGGATATGGGTTGTCTTTATTCGATAAAGGTGTCACACACATTACTTGAACATCTTTTAAGAACGAAATACCTAAATGATACTTCCACCGACAAAAAAGTTGAAATGCAACATGACGTAAAAGCTGTTTTCTTCTAGACCTAGAAAAATTACTTGAATACCTTGAGATAGGTTGGTGCATTTTACTGACTCGACCTTTTTTATAAAATTCATCTGTTAGAATATTTATCCATCTTTGAGAAGCTAGAGCAATCAGTGATATATTTTCTTTTAATAATAACATATCTTTGTAAAAGTGCTCGTGTTGGACTCCAAAATAGTTCTTTGAATCCATTAAGCTTATAAGTGAATGCGATAGATCTTCTTTTTTGCGAATTAAAAGATAATAAAGTGCCCCTTTACCATCTTTCGGATAGTTGTTGTAGTCTAAACTACAGTTTTGTATCAAATACCAAATTACGTCATCGCATCGGTATTTAGCAGCAATTGCTAGTATATCCTTTCCATAAGCATCTTTATATTGTTTAGTACATTGATTAAAATAAGCCACTCCTAATAACTGCTTTAAGTATTCAAACAACGCTTTAAGTATAACAAACTCGGTGTGTCTTGTAACAAATTGTAACAAATTTGAAGTCCTTTTAGCGTAACTGTACCCGAAAAAGTGTTCAAAAACATCATCTTTCTTTGACTGCTCCATTAATTTAAAAACAGCATCGTAATCTCCACTTTTGAGAACTGATTCCGCTTGATCTATATTAAATTTTAAAGCATTTGAAAGCAAGTACTTGCCATCCATTATGAACTTGATATTAAATTAAATATTTTTCTTTTTATTAAAATGTTTATAAAGTTGAATTATTTATTTAAAAACGTAATACAGACGTAAAAATGTGAAACAAACGTTACCAAGATAACTAATGTATAGCTTTTAAATATTCATAAGTTTTTTAAATTAACTTAAAGTGAATAATAAAAGTTAGCGAAAAGCTGGGACAGTAATTTTTATGTGTTTTTAAACAAAATAATTAAAAAGTAAATAAAGTTAACTAACAAATATCCATGAAAAAACGTTGTAGAAAGATGAAAAGTTTGCAATGATTACAATATATTTAACTGGTTTCTAAGCTCTTATTTTAAAAAAGATCACTTGGTACAAAGTTTATTCTGTGCAACTTACAGTGTAACACAACTTCTGTGCAACTCTCCTATTTAATAAATTTAATTTAATTTTGCTATATCTTCTAATCTTCTTCTTCAAAACTTAATAATTTAAATAAAACTTTAAAATAAATTTTTTAAGTTTCGATGTTTCTTGTTACTCATAGGTTCAAAAAAGATAACTCGAATCTTTTAAACATCGAATCTTTTAAAACTCAAATCTTTTAAACATCTCTTACATACATTTAATAAGTTTTTCTTTAAAAAATTAGTTTTTAGGTCATAAATAAAGAGGGTTTTTTTGAGTTCATGCGACAAAAAAAAAACAAGAAACAATAACAAAAACAAGAAATAGCAAAAATTAAATACATGGTTTTAACTTAAATCTTTCTTAAAAAAAATTTACATTGATAAACTTTTCATAAATGATCATACCCGTAGCCAGAATTTTTTGAAGGGAGGAGACCCTTCTAAGAAAGGGTATACAATATCCATTCAAAAAATAAAAATGGAGAGAATGATATAATTTTAAAATGGACAACATAATAATTAAAAAACCAAATTAAGTAAGATAAATAAAATATTGTAGTACAAATTAGTTTCATAGGATTAATGATGGCAGCTCCATTCTTCTTGGATGCAGTTTAATAAATAATTTCGTGGTTTCTGTTTTGTCTTATGCTTCGATAATGCCCATGCAAATGCATCTGCAAATCGCATATGCACATCGCTTGCATTTACAATACGTCACTAGAAGTGTACATCCAATACATAAGAGTGTGTTTACATTTGGAACTACTTGCTAATCGCACTTCATCAACGAAACTTGTAAACACTTTTGTTTAGGATCTTTCATCTTGTCACAAAGGTTCTTCCAGTAAATAATTTTTCACCAAACATAAGTTTCGAGAACACCTATAAGATTAATGATTATGTCACACATTGGAGCTTTAGATTTTTTCGCACAA